CACTCCGAGTCCCAGATCTTTACCTGTGCCTCCTGATTGCATGTATCCTTGAAATGATCAGTAAAGGTGGATTCTAGGTAATATCTCTAACATATGAATCTGATTTGACAAAATGATTTTTGTATTAGCTTACAAATAAAAGATAAAACTCAAAAATAATTCTAATCTGCCCTTGTCAGTGTGACCCAGTGGTTAGAGTGTCAGCCTATCCACTGAAGAGTCATGGGTTCAATTCCAGTCATGGGCACATTACCTAGATTTCAGGTTTCTCTCACATTGATGCTTCTCTTTCCCCCTCTCCCCCACTCTTGTCCTCCCTCTTCCTTCTTACACTCTAAAAATCAATGGAAAAAATATCCTCAGGAGAGGATTAACAACAACAAATCATAATCTTAGATGAAGAATACCTCTTAATACTATTATTTTAATAGAATAAATGAATTAAATGTTAATTTGACACAATTAAAATGGTATACTTGCAAGATAAATAAGGCATGTTTTACCATATGGCAAACTTTTTTGTTTTTGTTTTTTTAATCCTCACCTTGAGGATATGTTTTCTTATTGATTTTTAGAGGGGGATAGAACCTGCAACCTACGTATGTGCCCTGACCAACAATCAAACCTTTTGGTGTACAGGATGACACTCCAACCAACTAAGCTACCTGGCCAGGGCCATATGGCAAACTTCTTTTTAAGAATCCATATGAAAAAAAAAACTAACAAAATCATAGCATGTAAAATTACAGAGAAAAAAACTCAATACATTTTGAAAACATATATAGAACCAGAAATATCACAAAATTCTAATTAATATATGACATATATGATAAACATACAATTCAAGGGCAAAGGCCTTATCTGAAGAATGTTCACAATAGAACCCTTCTAAATATGTCCTTTGAAATAAGATTGTGCTCATTTTATAGCTGTGGTGAAATGAAATGCAAAAGATGTGATATGTTATTTTGTTTACATATTATGCTATTTGACTTTGCGTAATAGCAACAGATCATAATCTACAACTCTTTTCCCATCTGTGATCTACCAATGACAACCACTTAGAAACAGGCCATGAAGAGCATAAGCAAAGGTGCTTTAAAGATACGCTTAATAACAGAGATTTGAGCATGTAAACTTAGAAAAGAATGAAACAAAAGGAGTTTTAAAATAAAGAGTAGCAGGCAGAGCCAAGTCTTACAGAATAACATTCGAGTTCTCACTCTACAGGAATACTCAGTATAGGAAAAGTCATGGCCTCAGAGAGAAGGAAGTTAAAAAAACACACACAGAAACCAGCGTGAGGTAACGGCATATGCATGTAGTTCTGAGGAATTAAAGAATCTGAACATGTGTGGCACACCTCCTTTGGGTCTTTTTGTCTTAGAGGGCAGCTGTCATGGTTATTACATTACCTCATCTGGCCTCTAGGAAAGTAGAGTGTATTTCAGAAGTCCTGGTTTACTGAAGAAGCACAGTAAAACTGCCTAGGCCATTAGCTTTTAGTTAGGAAGCCCAACAACTTCTTGACCTTGGGCAAGTTGCTTAAATTCTCTAAGACTTGGTTTCCTATTCTGTAAGATAGTAAGAAAAATGACACCTATCTCATGAGATACTGAATATAAAACAGAGGACAAATAAGGCATCTTATACCTTATGGCAAATTTCTTTTTAAGCTTTCATACAAAAAAATTAACACAGTATCATGCACATAGTAAATAGTCACAGAAGAAGCTAGTTATATTGCCTTTATTATTAAGGAAGGGATTTCTTGTATACTTATATTAATTTCATTGTCTGCCTTAATTTTACTATTTTTTTCTTTAGCTAAATAACTTTGGGATCTATAAAAGTTGACCAGCTACTTTAATTTCCAAGAAAAAGAAACTGTTTCAGAAGCCAGAATTTACACTAGTGTCAGAGTTAAAAGTAGGAATACTATTAGAAAAGGCAACAGAGTTGGTATTCATATATTATATCTACAAAATTAGAACCTATGATTTCATAGTATCATAAAGATCAAGCCCTCCACCCTAGCCAGTTTGGCTCAGTGGATAGAGTGTTGGCCTGAGGACCAAAGGGTCCCAGATTTGATTCCAATCAAGGGCACATGCCTGGGTTGCGGCCTTAGTTTGATGTGCAGGAGACAGCCAATCAATGATTCCCTCTTATCATTGATGTTTCTATCTCTTCTTTTGCTCTCCCTTCCTCTCTGCAATCAATAAAATAACATTAAAAAAAAGAGAGAAAGATCAGGCCCCCCTTTTTTCTCTTGGCCAGAAATAAACAAACTCCCATTTCTAAAAATATTTTAGGTTTTCTCCTTGAGGAAGTCATCTTGCAACAAAATACCCTATTATCATAGAAAGCAAGTATAGGACAGTATGTCATGAACAAGACTATAAAAATATAGTGGTATATGAGCCAAGGAAAAAATTCATCTGGAAAAATGAATAAGTAGAGGTTTTTCTTCAAATTTAATTGAGACTGTGAGTTTCCTGTTTTGTGACTATTTCTTTGATACTCCCATGTATATGATAAACTGTTCTTTAAGAAATTTCAAATGACCATTCACTTAAAAAATGCTCTATATATTTGTTTCTTTTAGAAAAGTAGACCATTAAAAGAATCATAAATGAGGAGTAAAATTAGACGTGTAAGAAAAGCAAACATAGTCTTACTCTTTTTTTTCTGTTTTTTATATTTAAATTTAATCCAACTTTTAAAAAGCATTACAAAAAAAAAAGTTTAATTCATAGCATCCAATTCAGACCATCCTAACCCACTGACACGAATACAAGGGGACAAAATATGTATATACTATTAATTTTATGAATTCCAAAACTATACAGGCTATGCATTTTGGCTTTTTATGAGGCAACAATTCCACAGTGGTCTTATATAAATCACATATACACACAAAATAAAACTATGAATGTGATACAGTAATGTTGCAAACCTAAGAACTTTCTCACTGAGTCTGATTTGCTATTCCTGATGAGGTTTAAGAATAAAAGAAAACAAGTTGCACATATAGATAAATTAAGACAATTTGTTTTTCTGATTAACTTTAAATTAAATTAATTATTGAGAGTTACAGAAGGAAAGTACTCTGAAGATTAATGAATATCTTTTGTTTAAAGAGTCTCACATACTACACATAGGCCTATTATATTATAAGGTATCCTTTCCATGGAAAAATAAAATCAGCAATTATATAGTAGCTCAAAGCCTTTGAATAATTAAGGACTACAAAAATGACAATTCAGAAGAAATTACGGGAAAAAATATAGGTAAGGAATGTAATAATTCAGTAAGGACCTTGATTAAGAGAAAATGAAAGACACAACGGGATACACAATAACTTCTTATCTTAGAGTTATCCTCAAAACAAGAGTATCCAAACATTTCATCTCTCATTTGAATTTCATGAGAAATAAAAGGTATATGAAAAAGCCTAAATGATGTATCATTCAAAATGACACAAATGACAATTAGGAGGCAAACATAGAGTATTTTGACTGAATAACTAGGGGGGAAAAGAGGGATTAAAATATTAGAGAGGCCGAAACCGGTTTGGCTCAGTGGATAGAGCGTCAGTCTGTGGACTGAAAGGTCCCAGGTTCGATTCCGGTCAAGGGCATGTACCTGAGTTGCAGGCACATCCCCAGTAGGAGATGTGCAGGAGGCAGCTGATCGATGTTTCTCTCTCATCGATGTTTCTAGCTCTCTCTCTCCCTTCTCTCTGTAAAAACTCAATAAAATATATATTTAAAAAAAAAACATTAGAGAGGATAAATCAAATGTATTTCATAAATTTTGTAGTCCTGCAACTAAAAATAATGCCACAGACACACACACAAATGAAAAAATAAAAACACCTCACCCCAAAAAGAAATGATGTCCTATATCTGTTTCTACTCAGATTAACTGTGAAAAATAACTGACCTATAAAATACTTTACTATCCCTTCAAAAGAAAAAAAAAACAGTGAGAAACTTTGATAATTTAACTCAATTAAAACAGTTTTAGAGAGTGCAATCATTCTTTTATCTATTTCAAAACTTGGAAGTGCCCAGCCAGTGTTGCTCAGTGGTTGAACATCAGTCTATAAACCAGGAGGTCACAGCTTAATCCCCAATGGGGGTGTGCAGGAGGCAGCCGATGAATGATTTTCTCTCATCACTGATGTTTCTCTCTCTCTCTCTCTCTCTCTCTCTCTCTCTCTCTCTCTCTCTCCTTTCCTCTCAAAATCAGTAAAATTAAAAAAACACACAAAAAAAACTCTTGGAAGTTATACTAAAATGTAATAGTCAAACATACATGCAAAATGACCCTACAATTAAGATAATTGCTAGTACCAAATGTTGTTTTTAAGTTCTGCAATGAAAAAGTCTCCCAGACATTTAATAGTATGTCATTTGGTAAATGAAAGTTTCCACAAAGTAAGAGCAGTGAGAAGACCTAAAAATTATGCTAGTGAAGAGTCTGGCTGAAAGAAACGAAAATATGGATCATTTTGGTCCAATACTAATTTTATTTCGAGTTACTACAGAGCTGAATAAAATGCTGACACCATCACACAAAAATTTATTGAGTTGGCAATAGGCAAAGCATGATGTCAGCCACCAATATCCCCATCCACATTACCAAATAGCATGAACACTTCAATTCTTGAACTTAACTTAGACTACATGCCTAAAGTTACAGTAAAAATAAAAACCTTAGGCATGAGGCATTATTAAACACAGATGAGTTTATTTTGGCAGTATTTTGACGCAAATTAGTCAAGTACTTTAACAAATTCAGTGAAAAAGAAAATGCAAGCTTCAACATATTACTATTTTCTAAATGTGCTACATTCTTCACCAAACAGACCCATAAAATAAGTCTTGGTCAACCTACAATAATATTCAAATAAGTAACCCAACACACACACACAAAATGCAGACTGAGAGAGACAGAAACACACGCATACACACAGCTGCACAAGTCCTTACCTTCATGGCATGAATTTCTTCAAGTAATCGTTGTGCCCGCCTTTGGTTTTTTAACAGCGCATCTTCAGTACCCCTGCAAAAAATACATTACAACATGTAGACAGGAAAAGCATTTATTACAGACTCATATCATAACGAAAAGTCTCATTTCTTTTAGAAAAATATCATAAATCTCTAAATAACAATCAAAGTCATCCCGCACTGCTTTCTCCCCTTCCAACATATATCCCAATTCTATTAGTAAACTCAAGTTCTTGGCAATACCAGGCATTATCCTGGCATAATATTAAAAATTATTGCTGCTGTTTGCCTTCTAATTCCTTAACGGGAAGGCCAAATAATACTTTTTAATTAATCAGTTAACAGCACATTGTATTTAATATAAGGTCCATAAGCTACAGCTAAAGATTAGATATAATTTTATTAAATAAAAACTTGTTCTCTGGAATTAAAAGAACATACAAAGATGTCAAATATCTGATTATATCAGAGAGGAAACCCATCTTCTGCAACATTTATGAAAGAAAGCACTAAAAATTAATCAGGAGCAAATCACATTTGAAGACTTTAAACAACATACTTTTTCTCTAATACCAGTAACACTGAAAATACAAAATACTATTTTTTCGAAAAATTAGATGGAACACAATGTCTTGATAAACACTTCCACAAGGTACTGAAGATTTTAAATTAATTAGCAATTCAAGAAACAAAGTGATATAAATTTTTACAACTGATTCACAAAAGGTATTACTAGATTTGCTCAACTATACCACATCTTAAGATAACTTCTAACAACAAAAAACACATACATAACCCCGAAGGACTTTCATTTTGAAAAGGTCAAAGAGATTTTTGAAAAAAATAGCAGCAGAATTCATCATGTATTTTAAGCAAATATGATTCAAACCATGTAACATGCTGACACAGCACATTTTATCTCACTCAGATCCTCTCTAAATATTTTTTTTAAAAGTGCTGCATGAGTAAGATATTTAATTATCCCTCTTAGGTCCCACCCTCAAATTTTGTAAATATTGAATAAAAACAATTTTTGACATTTTATCAGTCAGAAGGCCATAACTTGAAATGACTAACTTTTTTGACTTCAGTCTGCTAACACTTCTGACAAGTTTTCGGATAACCAAAACTCGGATTCTCTTCACTTCTTTTCTCATCTTCACAACCTTTGAAGAATAAAGCCAAAATTTGAAAGGTTATTAATTCAAAAAGAAACATACTTTATTTTGAGTCTTAATATTATAGGCAAAGTCTACCACTTTATCCAAAATTTTGGTTAACTATATTTCTAGTTGGATGAAATCAAACATTTTCAACTAAGAGTGAATAAAGGAATACATCAACATTTTAAAATGTGTCTGAGGACTCAAGAGAAAGAAGTTATCTTACAAAAAAGTCACAGCATTCCCAATGATTAGTATTTTAATATTAGTAGGGGCCCAGTGCACAAATTCGTGCACCTTGCAAGGAACTGTGGGCCGCAAGGCTGCAGTATGCATAGGAGCCCATCCTCGGCCTGTGTGCCGGCAGCACTGCTCCCACCGCCCCTCAGGAGCAGGGGGAGGTGGAGAAGCCCTCGGGGCGACCAGGGCCAGCAGCCGCCACTCGCAGCCACTGATGGTGCTGAGTGATTGGGACTGGTGCACCAGCACTGGTAGCAGGTGGGAGTGGCGGCTCTGGCACCGGCTGCAGGTGTGAGTGAGGCCGGCGCTGGCAGTGGGTGTGAGCGGTGGCTCTGGCGGCTGCTGGCCCCAATCTCCCCTCAGAAGCAGGGGGAGGTGGAGAAGCCCTGAGGGGCGGTCAGGGCCGGCAGCCGCCCCTTGCACCAGCGGACAGCACCAAGCTATCAGGGCCAGTGCCAGGTGCCGGCAGTACGTGTGAGCAGTGGCTCCGGCGCCAGCAGTGGGTGCAAGCGGGCAGGCGCTGGCCCTGGGCAGGACTGCGGCATTCACAGGAGCAAAGGATTTTCAGTAACCACCAGAGGCTCGCCCTGATAACAGCGACCAGCACCCTGCCTTGGTCTAGTGCTCCCACTCACCTGCTCCACCATCCCACCACGGCCAACACCCACAATGTTCCATGCATGTCCCCTGGTGGTCAGCGCATGTCATAGCAACCGGTTCGGTTGTTCCGGTTCCAACGTTTGGTCTATTTGCATATTAGCCTTTTATTATATGAGATACTTATTATAGCTTGTTGGGCTTGGAACATAATAAACTGAGTTTTCTGAGATCAGAGATCATCATATCAATCTTTGTATCCTTGTGACTTAAAGTAGAGCTTCAACCATCATGATGGAAATTTAATTTATTGAATGAGTGTGTTAACAAAAGCAAATGCATGAAAGTGATCATATTTACTTACTTATTACCCCTTGCATTTATTTTTAGCAATAATTTATTTGTGGCATAACTTTAAAAGAATTGCCAAAAGCACAAGGGCACATTGTGTGTGCTCACACACATACACAGTACATGCTTTAAATCATCCCACTAAAGAACAATACTGAATTCCAAGAACAAAAAAACAAAAACAAAAAAAATTGTATTGGCCAAGAGATGGGAATATTCTAATGATAAAAAACTACATGTTATAACAGTACTTAGTACAATGGGATGCTATCATTTTGAATTTATGTTTGTCTGTTATTAGGAGCCATACATCTTGTAATTCCTCCTGTATTGTCTTTCTTCCCCTCCTCCACGTTAGGAACTTCATAAAATTCATTTCAGATAGCATCTTTCCCATAAACTTTCAATGACTTCTTCAGTTAGAGAAAACCACTCCATCCTTGGGGTCCCAAATATACTTTGTAGGTAGATTCTATTTCACCATACTGTCATTAATCACTGTGGCTGTTTTTAGTGTTTTGTTTTGTTTGTTTTCCCTATAGTTTTTGAGCTCCTAGAAGACAGGGAATTTGCAATATTTACATAGTAATTTCTGTGTCTTTCAAGAGTACCTGGCATACACAATCCTACAAATTCCCTTGCCAAAATAGCAATATCAAGGCTCTTGCATTTGGCTGTAATAGCTTCTCTTACCTTTCATGAATATCATTCACGCTCTGTATTACATTGAAGATACTGACAACCAACTTATAATTTCTCTCCACCCTAAGTTTTGACATCATTCTTAGTGACAGAAATGCCCACTTAATAACTCACCCAATATATCCTCACTTCTTGATGTGCTCTTTTCTAATTAGCTAATCTATTCCATCTCAGTGACCCACTTCCAAGGTCACACTGTAGTCCTCAACACTTATAACCATTCTATTTCTAAAATGATTAGTTGAAATATTCCATAAGATTACAATTTTTTTAAAATATATTTTTATTGACTTCAGAGAGAAAGGGAGGAGGGTGTGATAGAAACATCAATGAAGAGAGAGAATCATTGATCGGCTGCCTCCTGCACGCCCAACACGCCCCACACTGGGGATTGAGCCCACAACCCAGGCATGTGCCCTTGACCAGAATCAAACCTGGGACCCCGCAGTCCACAGGCTGACGCTCTATCCACTGAGCCAAACCAGCTAGTGCAAGATTACAATTTTTATCTGCTTGCTTATTCAACTCCACCCACCACAATTGTCTCTGACTTCACTGGATCAGCAATTCACTTACCCCTGTACTTTCTCTCAAACAGTTAGTCCTCTGCTTTTGATTTTCCTCCTCTAGGTACATGATCAACACTGTACCTCCAATTTGATCAACATGATCAACATGTACCTCCAATTTAGGTACATGATCAACATTTGCCAATACCTTAAATTCCCCTATGGTTAGCAATCCCTTTAGTAATCTTGAATAAAAAGAACATTCTGAATTCTTTATCACAGCATCCCAATAGCCAGGAAATACTTAATACATTCTATCTACTATAAATTCACCTTAACTAACCTCAAACAGGCTTTTACACTTCCTAGCAATCCTACGTATTTTTTTTTTGGTCAATTCACTCTACAATAACTATTTTAAACCTGTCTGCTTTCCTAAAATATTTAATATTCCTTTTCATCTCTCTTTTAATTTCATTGAGAAAATAAACATTAGATGGGGACTATCATCTTTCTACTACCATTAATACAAATTTATTTGCATCATTCACACTATTCTATTAATAAAGTTGTATTATCCTATATAATAAAAGGCTAATATGCAAATCGACCAAATGGTGGAACAACCGGTTGCTATGATGCAGACTGACCACCAGGGGGCAGACGCTCAATGCAGGAGCTGTCCCCTGGTGGTCAGTATGCTCCCACAGGGGGAGCGCAGCTCAGCCAGAAGCCGGACTCACAGCTGGTGAGCACAGAGGTGGTGGCGGGAGCCCCTCCTACCCCAGGCGCACAAATTTTATGGACTGGGCCTCTAGTAAGAAATAATCGTACACATATCTCATGTTAATCTTTTAACTGTTTTGAATCTCATCCTTTCTGCCATCCTAGAACCCTCACTATACATTATTCCTTTCTAGCGTTGTCAATCTCTTAACTGGATTATTCCCATTGATTTTTATCATGTTTGAGTCACTTTCATTAAGCATAAGACAAACAAAACATCCTCACTACAAAGTTCACGAGGAGCACCCTCTGTCTTCAACTGCCTCAGAGCCAAGCTTTGAGAGATGTTCAAAGTCATTATCATTTTCATGCCACATAATTCCAGTTTGTGGTGTCTAAGACACCAATGATTTCTAAATGACCATGAATACAACAGGAAATTTTCAGGCTTCATTTTACTTGAAATCTCAAAAGCATCTAACACTGTTCATCACTTCCTCCTTCTTGAAACACTTTTCCAAGTGTTTACATGACCCATGACAGAATACTCCCCTGGTTTTCCTTCTGCCCTCTAGCCTCTCCAGTTTGGTCTTGTTTGAAGGCTCATCCACCATTTCATGTCATGAAGTGTTCCAAGTTCAAAGGTCAGTCCTAAGCCAGCTGTACCTTTCACCATCCATTTTTGGCCCTAAGTGATCTTATTGTGTGAATATATTTTTTCAATTTGCCACCTAAACAAAGATGACTCAAAAATTTATACCTTCAACTGAGATATATCTTTCAGCTCCAGACCCAAGTGTGCAACTGCCTACTCAACAGCTCCTTTGGAGTAGCTTAAAATCACTTCCACCTCACACTGGAACCCATGTTCTTCATCCCCAACTGGCTCCCTTTATTGGTGTTTCATGTTTCAAGGAATAGAACAATCTTTTCGTTATAAACCTAGGGCTCACTATAGATAGCTCTCACTGCTAAATCTCTCACAATAAATCTATTACCAAGTCCTGTTAATTTTCTCTCCTAATTATCTCTCAAATTGTACCACTTTTTCTATCTTGACCTCACCTAGCTATCCCAGTTGAGTTTGGTAACTCGTTTCCCCACTCTTGCCCCTCTCCAGTTTCCGAAACTCGGTCAGAATACATTATTAGCCCTAGCCGGTTTGGCTCAGTGGATGGAACGTCAGCCTGCGGACTGAAGGGTCCCAGGTTCGATTCCGGCCAGGGGCACATGCCTGGGTTGCTGCCTCAATATCCAGTGGGGTGCGTGCAGGAGGCAGCCAATCAGTGATTCTCTCTCATCACTGATGTTTCTATCTCTCTCCCTCTCCTTTCCTCTGAAACCAATAAATATATTTTTTTTTAAAAAAAGAATACATTATTGACACAGAGATGTAATGCCATACCTTCCTTTCACTCTCTTCAATGGTTTCCAATTGCTTAAGATGGCCACATGGGCTCTTTTTGAGTCCTTTGTCTTGCTCACATCTACCAGCAAGTCTTCACATTTATTGTTTCCTCTGGTAGATATGCTCTTCCTCCCCATGTCAGCTTGTTAACATCTGATCCTTCTGATTTTTGGCCTATTTGTCATTTCCCAGTAAAGTCATTTTTGGGGCTCCCTGAGTCAAAATTCCCAATTATAAGTACTTAGAGTACATATAAAACTTGTCATGAATATATAATTTAATTTTAATACTTTATTTTTAATCTGATGATATTTAATGTGTCGTTCTCCCAGTAAGTTATCAACTGAATGAAGGTCAAGTATCTTGTTTTTCTCAACATTATATCTTAACACCTAAAATAGTGGGTGACATACAGTTAAGTGTGTTCAATAAATATTTGTTAAATAAATGACCAGAAAGGTAGAAACAGT